TCGCCGCTACGCATATGGGTCTTTTTCCGCTCTCCTGCTCCCCACGGTTAGTCCCTTTGAATGTCCGTGACAGATATTTAGAAATATAAAAAAGTCAATAGAGTGTCCATAATATTGCTATTTTAGTTTTTCAAAGAAATGTTTGTTAAAAGAAAACTCATGGCGATAGCTGGATTTGAACAGCCGACCCCTCGCTTATAAGGTGAGCACTTAAACCATCACACCACTAACATGACAAATGCTGAAACAGCTATACACATATCAATAAATATGTGTATACAGTATACAACTGTTTGTGTTACAGTACATGAATATAATTATATTGTTATTAATTTCTTTAGATATGCAATTCCATATTATATTCCCTATTAATCAAATTCTAAAAGTATGCTTGTTTACTCCGGTATCACGCGTATTTGCAGAAAAGCTTAAAACTATCACTTTTCTCAACAAGTACTGTATACTGTATAAACGTACAGTAACATGGTCAGAAGGAGCAAGGAGCACATAAAAATGTTTCCAAAATAACCACATGTAAGACTTTGATGCTTAAAATGTTTAGGGAGAAATGGAATACTGGTGTGTGTTTTTTTTCTTTAAAATACCAAGACCAACCATATACAGTACAGTTTACATACAATAATATGTTTATGTTCCTAAATTAATATATTTTATGAGCATGTGAAAGGCATGGTGAATTGGAGATTCTCAAGAATTACTATACTTTGTATTATTTGAAACAAATGCATGATCGGATCAACGAAATGCTGTGGTGTTACTTTTTGTCAATGAAAAAATAAAGTATTTTCGTTTACAAAGACAGTTACAAAGAATGTGGACAAAGAAGGGTAGTACTTTGAGTTTACAGCTTGTCCAAGGTCATTCATTATTAATATTATTAGTAATATCTTCGGTAAAGACTTTGATGCATAAGATATTTCTGCATAATTAAAATATTTATGATAAAGGTGGTAGGTTGTGTACTTTTGTCCAACTGAGCAACCTCGCTTTCATAAAATATACAAATTTTATTGTATAATGATTAACATGCTGTAATACAGTTTAAATTTAAAAGTCTAACGAGTATACAACTGAAATTCTTAATTGGATAAAGATTGTCCCTCAGCAGTGATTGGGAGTCGAAACCGGGTGTTTTCTGTTGACAGCTCAACATGAGAGGTTGAGCTTTATTAGTTACACCTGGCGGTAATTCCGGATACTATTATCTGACTTGCGTTATTATGCGGTATTATACGGTATGGCATGCTATGACATGTTATACCGCGACACGCCCACCGCGTTTTACCGCTGCATACCCCGCTGTGTCCTTGGAAAATACATTGCTATTCAGAGCATGCATTATAATTCTTACTCATTAAGATCTGCGTGATTTCTCCCACTCTCTCTCAATCCATCTTCTGCTAACTTCTCTTAATGTTCTGGTCTGCAAGTTATATTTCTCTAAGTAAAAACAATCATCCAAAAACAAACATACAAAAATAAAAAAGACACACATTTGTATCATAAATCTGAATTTAAATAATCTCTGTGGTGTGATGTGTAACATGATGTGTGAACTTTCTTTTTTTTGCCATTACCTGTGCCTTTCAGCTCTATATCCATCAGCGCTCAGAGTGAAGAGAGGAACAGTCAGTTTACTGAATCCTACTTTTCAGACCTCTGTGGAGGAGGTCAACATGCTCTATGAGGTAAGACATATCCCTCTAAAAGCTAGAAATTATTTAAGGTTAATAAATTTCATAATTTCAATGCCTGAGTCATTATGCTATAATTCAATGTTTTCCTAGTTTCATAACTATCAAACAAAAGGAAGGTTTCAATGGACCATTTAATCCTTTGTCAATCTACAGACCAAAAACTGTTACATCCAGCTAACTCGTTAATTGATAATCCAATTTTTTCAGGATTTTATTTCTACACTTTAAAGGTCTAATATATTAATCACTAAAATAATTAAAATAACTATTTAACCGTTTAACAGTCTTCCTGGTTTTATATTTGAAATTTAAATATCAGTTAATACATTTATATACATAATAAACATTTAAAATGAAATATAAATATAAAAATATATATAAAAGTGTAGCGTTGCCATAGCCGGCCCAGGGACGCCAAATTAAATGTAGTGTGCTCTCTGAAGGCACCAGTTCTGTAGGGTTTGGGCATTTACTGGGACAATTATTAATTGTAGCAGTAAATCACAAAATTGATTCTTTTGATGGCTTTAGAATCCAACCATGCGACATAACTCAAACAACGCACACACACAGGTACTAATACACGAGGATACATTTATTAATACATAGAATATGCATATAAACCTAACAGATCTTATCGAGAGGGTTATCAGAATACAAAAGGTATATATTCAGTCAGTTACAAAGTGTTACACATATCAAGAGGACATACGTTCAGTATATAATTCATTAAGACCGTTTCATAAATGAACTTGGTTATAACTTCTACATTAGATACTCAAGTACATAACTCTTAGGAATTAAATTGATATCAACTGGTTGGGATAACAATTGAATTCTCGAGCTGTAATGCATTGAAGTTGAAAACTCATCCAATCTCTGGGGATTCAGATCTCCTGCGGGCACAAAGAAACAGTTGCAGGCTGTTGCTGTCCAATCCGCGCTCTCTGGCTCGGTGCCAGGCTGTGCTGTGTGGCTTGCAACGGTGTGTTGCTGATGCTCACTGACCGGCTAGTTTGTGTTGGTTTTAACTAGCAAAGTTTGCGCACAGGAGAAAAGATGACTGTGGGTCCCAGCAAGTCAGGAAGAGGACCGGTTCGTTCCTGATGAAGAGCTAGTTCTGAATAGTGATTCAGCTGTCCACAGTTCTGACCTGTTCACGAGGCCTGCTGCTGGTGCTAACCTCGGGTGGATCCTCTGGTTACTCTCTGGCAACCTCCGCTCTCGACTCTTAGAACAAAGCAAAGTTCTGGCACTCGGACACACTGGCCGTTCTGTGGTTGTCAGGGCTGAGTCTCAGGATGGTCAGGAGGCGCGCTGTGAGAATATCCTGCCCTCGGGAGCCTTCTGCTCCTGGGCCGTCCTGCCCTGGAATTCTCCTTTGAATTCCCTTTAGAAAAGTCTCAGAATTCTCCACTGAATCTCTCAGGCTCTCTGTGTTGCCTGTTTTTACCTGGAGGAACTTCAGCTCGTTGATTGGCTGAAAGTTCCATGGGCATCAGAGTCCCACGTGGGTTACTCGGCCCTACCAGTCCCTGATTGGTTGATCAAGGTGAGATATGAGTCACTTACTTAGACACTTAGGAATGCAGTCCAGATGTCCATCTGGCACTCCCTAGACAGATAGGCGCCAATGGATGATCATTGATCATGATAGCCAGGCATAGCTAAGTGCATCCCCCTTTGGGAGCTGTCCTAGGAAACCTTATCAAAGGAAACCTTAAATCAGCCTGCATGAATAGTTTCTCTGTGGCTGCACCACAGAGATGAACAGAGAAATGGGGCCTCATTTGGGAAGGCTCAGAACACTTAATTCTTTCTTATTAATAAGCCTCGCCGCTACAAAAGGAAAGAAAAAAGGAAACATCTTTGTAACATGACATTATAGGAAGAACAGACTCAATAAAAGTAAATTCTGAAATACATCCACCCATTTTCTACCTAGCCATCCATTTTCTAACTACTGTAGGGTTGTGGGAGTGCCGGAGCTTATCCCAGCAAGCAATGGGTGCAAGATGGGATGCTCTCTGGATGGGATGTCAGTCCATCGCAGGGCACACATAGATACTGATACACACACACACCCTCACACAAGGGCCAATTTTCTCAGAAGCCAGCTAACCTATCAGTATGTCTTTGGACTGTGGAAGAAACTAGAACACCTGGAGCAAACCCACTTGAACACGGGGAGAACAAACTCCATGCAGATAGCAACCCAGGTCCTGAATTGAACCCAGGGTCCCAGCACTGGGTGGCAACAATGTTAACCAGTCCTTCACTGTGCTCCCCTTATAAAATACATTTCCAACATAATCGGAAAAAATATTCATAATATAGTCCCTATGTAAAAAATTGAAATAAAAAATGTAATTACTAAAAAACAAAATCTATGCAGCATATCACATGTAGTACACAGAAGAGTCAGAAGACAACATTTCTTTGGTTGTAAATAAATAATCCCCTATGAAAATTCAGTTTTAAAAAGGATTATACAAGGAGGAACTGTTCCCTCCAGTGACACTCCTGAACACTTACACTAGAGATTGCATTATTCTTGAATCTCTTTTAATAGAAGCTTCACTACAGAAATCATATTATACACAGCCTTTTACCAGAAACTTTATTTTTTCTAAGAAAATAATTGTTTCTAAAGAAGTAAGTTGTAAAAAAAAATATTTATAAAAAAAATCTGGTTCTGATTTTAGACAAAATTATAGCTAAAGCCCATGTTAGTCAGAATCTAAAAGGAAATTCCATGTATCTTTTTCACATGCCTTTTGAGCATTGTAATTTTACACACTTTGCCATTCATTGTGAAGACAATCATTGCTGAATATTATACAGTAAATCTAATTTTTATGAATGTGTTCTGATTTAAATATATGATTGAATTTAACCAGATTCTCTGTTTACAATCAGGAAATTGATCTGGAGGATCAGTTTTGTTGTGAATTATTATTATAAAATAAGTTTTAAGGAATCATAATGGGATGAACCAGTTTATTGAAAGTAGAATGTTGCCTTATCATTTTAAATGTATGAGAAAGGAACCTCTGAAACAACATTTCTGCTATTTCTAAATAAAATTGGAACCAATGAACGTATCTTTGGGTCCATAGCTGTTCTACACTGAGAAATTGTTAGTACAAGAAAAATGACAGTTTTATACATACATAAGTACAGGGCATTTAGAGTAGCTGGGCCTGTAGATTAAAAAAAAACGTTTTGAAAAAGAAAAGAAAGTTTTTATATTTTAAACAATGTAAAATGTAAAAAACATCTGGTTAAAGATATTTCAGATAAAAGCCCTTTTGTAGCTAGTCAGTAAAATGTAACTACAAAGCTCTGTACTTTTTTTTCAATATTCAGAAAAGAATGTCAGAATATAATGCTCATTCCAAGAGCTTCCATAATTTCAAGTTTGAAACAAATGTTAAACAGATTAGAAAATTCTAATTTTCTTTTCAGATCTTACTACATGGATTGTGGATGGATAATATATATGATCACTTTTTAATAAAAGATGAGGAGCTGGCATCACTGAGGAAAAGCAAGAAACTAGAAGTGATCTGCGAAGATGTACTCCCAAGGAAAATCACAGAAGTCAGGCGGCTAACCTCTATGCTTTCTATGCATGTGGGACCACTAAGGAAGAACGATTTTGAGCGAACTGTTTTGACATTGGTGTACACAGCACACAAACTGATTCAGTCAAAAGGACACCAGAAAGACATGTGGGCAGAATCATTTGTGAAACTCTACAAAGCTTTAAAACAAGACCTACTATATTAAGAGAAAAAAAGCATATTAATGCTTTTGTCCATATATTTTATATGTTCTACATAAAGCTGGCAATCACCACTTCTACTTGTTATGTTTTTAATTGTATAGCATTTCCAGTGAAATGCATTGAATATACCAGGACAAAATATGTAGTATATATTGCATTTATACAATATGCATATGTATTTCACCAAATATGTTTAAATTTAAATTGTTAATATGTTCATGACAATAACTAATAATTTTGGTAGGGCACTCCATAAAATTAGGTTCTACTATATTTTAGTGAAAAACAATTTATTTGAAATCAAATATGAAAATAAGACTGAATGGCCTAAAGTTTAAAGTTGAACACCTGTCATAGGCAATGCTTTATCTGATATCTATTACAAGGAACTAAATCACAATCAGTCACTGAAAAGGGTGGGTTCTAAATGCAGGACAAATGCTTTATACAGTACAGTAGGATCTCAATATTTGCAAGGGTTCAGTGCAGAGATCTATTGCAAATAGCTAAATTTGCATATAACCAAGTCCACTTCTATACTGTTGTATAATGTACTACAGTATATAGTATACAGATGCAGCCATTCAAAATGCACAGTACAACCCCTTACCGTTATAGTGCAGTACATGATTGGCTGGCCACCATGACCTACAGGCGGCACTCATGGTGGTTCATTTAATCTCTTTACTGTGCATGTTTAAATCCGATTAATATTGAATATTAATATGGAATTTTACAACTAAAGGGTAATTTAAGTAGCTGAGCATAAAAAGAAGAGGAGCATAACATGTCTGAAGGTCATAAACAATATTAATTTAGGAACATAAACGTATTATGTAAACTGTATGTGGCTGGTATTGGTAGCTTAAATAAGAAATATACACCAGTATTCAATTTTCATCATAAACATTTTAAGCATTAAAGTCTTTCATTCAGTTACATACTGTGGTTATTTTTGAATAATCTTTATGTGCTCCTTCTGACTATATTAAGTTTATATACTTCACAAAATATTATGTTTTAACTTTTTCTATGAATATTTGCACTGGTTATCACAGAAAAAACACATACTTTTTAGAATTGATTGATAAGGAATATAATATGGAATCGTGAATCTAAAGAAATTAACAATATAATTATATTCATATAGCTCAAATTATCACAGTAGTACACTTTCTTTGTAAAAATCTGCATCAATTTGACTAATTCACCCGCGATTACTTGGAAACTTTTAGCTTGCCTTGTTCAGTTATGGCTCAAGTTGTCAAGATGCGCGTTGGTGTAATGGCTTAGGCAACTTACTTGCATGCTGGAAGTTGGGGAGTTCAACTGCAGCTCTCACTATGATTTTTTTTTAACAAATAAACATTTCTTTGAAAAACTAAAATAGTAAATATTATTGACACTATATTGAATTTGTTGGTATTTCTAAATATCACAACACGTTCAAAGTTAGGTGAGTTATGTGATTAGCCTTTTCTTTTCTGCTCGTTATCACAGTAAGAGAAATGCAATACTTTTTAGAATTTGATTAATAGGGCATATAATATGGAATCGTGTATCAAGAAATTAATAACGATATTAATTTAAGGATCTAAATATATGGATTTATATAGCTGGTAGTATTACTGTAATCCACTTTCTTTGTAAACACGTTTTATTTTTAATTTCACTCATTCACGCATGATGAAGTATTATGTACACTATATTAACGTTTTTTTTTGTTTATATATATATTATAACATATTCAATGTTAAGTTATATTAATAATGAAATAAAAATGTGAATTAGCAAACATGAATACTGTCAACTGTTCAACCGGTTTAATTCAAAACACTTTATTCAGTGGGGCAATTTAACACCATTCAAGCCTTAAAACGAAATCATATATATTTTAATTTGAATCGAGTACAACAAAGCAGTATTAAAAATACCACTGAAACTATAATAATGTGTCTGGTCATTATTAACAGTATTCATTTAACAATAATAATTTCAAGCTTCTTGTATCTTTTTCAGAGTCATTTTTTTCTTTGGTTTTCATAAGCTTCATTTATTAAAATACCTGTTTATGAGACATGACATTTCAGATGTCAATAAATGTGAACAAATGACACAGAGCCTGCAACCTACAGGTTTAAAGATTGCAATTTGTTAAAATTTTCACAGATTTTATTTAAACAATATGTAGTACCTGGTTGCATTTTTAGGAACTTTAGTTTGAATAAAGCGGATCCCAGGTGCAGGTAACTACTAATAGTAGTGCAAGTGCAAGTGACATAACCCGAGAAGGCTTTATGCCTTTTTTTCATGCATCAGTTGAAGCCTTCTGAAGTCTCTCAAAACCATAAAAATGTAACATAATATTGTGTGGCCCGATGGGCAACCGATTCTTTTAATTTTAAGAAAATCAAAAATAGGAAACAATAACATGTGTGCCTCAAATACATATTGCCTGGTTTTCAAACCCATAAAAACGTGTTAAGTTAAAAACACGAAATCCATAAAAAATGGGTGATTTTTTTCCTTGTGATCACCTTAGAATCTTTGTCAGCTGTAAGTTTTTTAACTTTTTAATTAAATATCCTAAACACTTTAAGTTTGTAAATACAACACACATTTTGTACACAGTACAATCACATTCTCCTGTCTTCTCTAGGTGTGAAATGAATTAGCAGGTGATTTGAGGAAACAGTGCACAGCCCACTGAGCTCTGTCAGAGAAGAGGCGGCACTGATTGGATTTCTGACTTATATCACAGTTCAATATTTTATTAATTTTATTATTTTATTAATAATTAGTCTTAGAATTTGCACTGTGATAAATTGTTGCACTTCCACATCTTGTAAAAAATAATTTGCAAGCCTGTGTTCAAACATACTGTAACACTTCAGGGTTCACGTTGGTGCCCTCGCTTCTGCCGCCCCTCCACCATCGGGGACTTGAACCCCGGCCTCCGGCATCACTCCGCAGGGACCCAGCCACTTGAGCCAAAGGGAAATCTCCCATCAGCCCACTGGCTGCAGTCCCTGCTATTCACAGGGAAGGGCGGTGACGTCACCACGCTGGTAAGCCGGCTCTCACAAGCAACGGAGGCCGTATGCATTAAAATATGTTAAATCTGACTAGTATCATAAAACCAGGGTTCACTTTGTTTCTCTCTCACTACTCTCTCTCACCCATTGCGATTCAGATACAGAATGGTTAAAAATGGGAACAGGTGAGGCAAGCAGAGGGAAGGGGGACCGGGGAGGCGTCTTCCCACCTCTAAGACTAAAGAAAGTGTCAAAGAGAAATGGCTTGAGCGACATACAGAGCCGATAAAGTTTGGTGCGGTCATCTCTGCTTTAAAGGTACACTCCTTGTGGATGAATTTTCACCTCGAACGTTTGCCCACCAGCTAACACACAGAAGCAAACTGAACACAAAATGTACTTGCAAGAATAGAAATTACAAACATAAAAAACATACTTGCTTTATACTGTTATACTGTACGGCATACTAAAACATTCTATGGTCACTACACTGCCCACTAAATCTCTTTCCTACAATTTCATGGGGGCAAGGTCACGTACAGATGCAGCCATTCAAACTGCAAGGTACAAACCCATCCTGCACGTAACTACCCACAAGCCACTGCAGCGTACCGCAGTACGTGATTGGCTGGCTAAAATGACCGACAGGGGTTCTCGTAGTACATTGGTCATTAGTGAAAAGATTTAATCATTTAATCTCTTTACTGTGCACGTTTTAATCCGCTTAGTATTAAATATTTATATGGAATTTTACAACTAAAGGGAAATTTTAGTAGCTGAGCATAAAAGAAGAGGAGCATAATGCATCTGATGGTCAGAAACTATATTAATTTAGGAACATAAACATATTATGTAAACTGTATATGGCTGGTCAGTAACTACAGTTTACATAATATGGTTAATATGTTCACCAATGTATTTTAAAGAAAAAATACACAACAGTATTCTACTTTCTCCCTAAACATTTTAAGCATCAAAGTCTTACATGTGGTTATTTTGGAAACGTTTTTACGTGTTCCTTCTGACCTTATTTAGTTTATATACTGTAACGAATTCGGGTTTTGGTACGGAATGGAGCAGGCATGGGACTCAGAGAATATGGTTGAACACAATTATTAACTTGAACTTGAACCGGGAAAGGTACACACACAAGGACAGGGGTTACAGCGCTGCACCTCCACTGACACACAGACACGAAGGGGCTGTCTCCCAGCCTCCGCCCTACTATATACAGTCCCATAGTCCCACCCCCAGGCGCTGTTCTCAGCTGGCCTTGCGTGCTCATGCTAAAGCGCCCCGCATGGCGCTACAATAGTTTGTGAAAAGTAATAGTGTTTTAACCTTTTCTGTGAATTTCGCTCGTTATCTGCATAAACAAAAGCATACTTTTAGAATTTGATTAACAGGGAATATAATATATCTAAACAAATTAAAAATGATATAATTATATTCATATACTGTAGCACAAAAAGTAGTATAAGATATTCTATTGATATGTGTTCAGCTGTTTCACTGCTTTCCATGTGACTGTGTCTGTGATGTGATGGCTTAAGCATCTGCCTTATATGTCTGCAGTTATAGCCCTGCAATAGAATGAGTTTTCTTTTAACAAGCATTTCTTTGAACAATTAAAATAGCTCCACCAGGCAGTTTTACAAGGTGATTCCGGATACTATAAACTTAATCTAATTTGCATGTGGAATAATGCGGTATGAATATGACACGTTATGTTGTGACAAGCCCACCGCGTTGTACCGCAGCGTACCTCGCTCATTTTGAATGGTTTGCTTCTGTAGCTGATTCACAGCTGGATAGAATTCTATCTTGCAAAAGTTCAGATATTTGTCAACATATTTACTAAAACTATCCATCTCAATAATCTCACTGTGTTAGTCTCATTGTACGCCCCAGTGCTCACTCAATGTTCACACTCCCAGTAAAATAAAAAACCAGTTTCCTGCATTGTCACCTCGCACCAGGGGGGAAGGAAAACTGACAAAGTTGATTAAAGCTCATTCAAAGGGTGTGGTGTGTTAACACAAACTCTGCTTAACAGAGCCGCTTGTAAGAGCAAGGTGACTTTCTGCTCAATTAAATAAAGCTACAGTACAGACAGTACAGATTTTAAATTCTTCAAGCAAAATTAGCTGCTTGTCAAAATCTGCTACTTTGTATGCAATACACAACTTCTCATAAGGTACATTTTGTCTCTTGTGCAAATTTAACAAAGGTTCATTTTTTATAATTCCGAAAATTGAACAGTATGCCTCAGGGACTCATTATAGTATTGTAGCGAATACAGTTTGCACAGGAAAATCAAAATACCACCCCACCCCCCCAGCCAGGTCTCACCGCCCACTGTGCCAAAGCAGTTTTCTTACTTCAGTTATTAATCCAATCTACTTTTACTCATTTACTCATATTTTACTAATGTAAAAATATAGCCAAAAGGATCACTGTAAAAGTTAAATTCCAAGCTGAAAAGACAAGACTCAACGTGTCTTCTCTAACTCTTCAGTTTACATTTTGTCCATGGTCATTCATTATTAATATTGTAACAAATAGCAGGCATACAAATGGTACAAGCCGGTTGCAGTGAGATGACAGTACAGCCCTCTTTTTTCCTTCCTTTATCTTAAAGACTTGCATGAAGAAATCCTAAATTACGAAACCATCACTTATAATAATTCATCCAGATACTGTACACACAGTCACACTGTAGCCAACAACAAGCTATAATAGTGGACTATTTTTATATATTCGGTTATGTAAGAAACAGAGTAATTCTCTGATCGGGTTTGAACCGTCTGGTTGTAGCGCACTACATGACAGTCCATTACCTATTACCACTATAAGGACAATAATATATTTATATATGTATTTAAAAATGAATGTCAAATGTTTCCAAAATGTCCCCTTGCGATATTTTAGTTCCTTAGTTACACGACTCCATATTAATATTACTATCAAGACATATTATCAGTATAATCAGTATATTTTTTAATTAAATTCAGGTATTTTAAATGTTCAATTAAAAAGTGGTTTTTAACTATCTAAACCATTTTTTAGAGCTTTTAAAGTCACACAATGCTTTAGTTAGGCAGGAACATGTCATTGTATCTTATTTTTTTATTTATTTTTTTAAATTAAAAAAATTGTTTGCCTATCTTGTTGATAGGCTGTTCTCCGATTACTGCAATTGTAAAACAAATCACCATTCCCCCTTCCCTTGTTTAACTTAAAGTTTTCCATTAAGAAATGTTGTGTTTTCTTTCTTCTCTTTTCAACATAGAATAAACCTATTACTTATTCTTGTACTGTGTCACCTGCAAGAAGAAACAAGAGGGAGTAATACTAGAGGAGAAGGAATCATAGGCATTAGCATAATATGAATGTATTATATTCTTATTATTTCCTTTTATCCCAACATTTTTGTTGTGTTAATCAAGTAGTATAGGAGAGGTTCCCCAAGGCTGCAGAATGTTTTGTCTACATATTTTTATTAATGCTGCAAATTAATTTGCTATTAAAAAATCAGCCTCAATCGGCCCCATGGGGATTTTAATGAGGATGTCCAGTCCAGAGTCCAGAGAACCTATTATATTAGGAAATGCTGTAAGAAATGCTTAGATCACTGTGCATAGATACAGGGAACAGAAGCTATATTTACAGTGGATAATATTATATATGAGATAATTACTAATATTTTTATTTTATGAAACCCCTGATTGACAAAATTCACCAATGTTTGGCAAGGAAACAAAATGAATTCCCAAAAAACTGTTTTAATGCACACATTTTCCTCATTGCACAATACACTGTTGCTTTAAGGAACTGATCCGAGTTCCCAACACAGTAAAAAAAAAAACACTTTTAACGTTTAGCCATAACGAGCAGTATTCTTACATATAATATTGTGAAATCGACAATCCTGACTTTTGTCAACTTGTTTTCAAAAGTTATTGGTTAACTGAGTAATATCACTACATGAAACAGCCCCCAGTTATATATAACTGTTTTATGTATTTTACAGCTAGACTTTCTTCAGTGACATTATATTATTATTGCATTTATCTTATTTACATTGATTTGTGAAATCTTGAAAGTATAATCTTTTAATCATAGATTGAAAAAGGTGTATTAGTAACACTTAATTATTGGATCACCCAGAAAATTTTCAAAATAAAAATAATAATTCACCAAGCATGTGTACCTTACGGCCGCTTACGGCCACACCACCCTGAACACGCCCGATCTCGTCTGATCTCGGAAGCTAAGCAGGGTCGGGCCTGGTCAGTACTTGGATGGGAGACCGCCTGGGAATACCAGGTGCTGTAAGCTTGGTGTTAGTGGGGCCAGCAGGGGGCGCTCACCCTGTGGTCCATGTGGGTCCTAATGCCCCAGTATAGTGATGGGGACACTATACTGTAAACAGGCGCCGTCCTTCGGATGAGACGTAAAACCGAGGTCCTGACTCTCTGTGGTCATTAAAAATCCCAGGGCGTTTCTCGAAAAGAGTAGGGGTGTTACCCTGGCGTGGCCCTTACCAATCATGGCCTCCTAATACTCCCCCTCTATGAATTGGCTACATTACTCTGCTCTCCTCCCCACTGATAGCTGATGTGTGGTGAGCGTTCTGGCGCACTATGGCTGCCGTCGCATCATCCAGGTGGATGCTACACATTGGTGGTGGTGGAGGGGAGTCCCCATTACCTGTAAAGCGCTTTGAGTGGAGTGTCCAGAAAAGCGCTATATAAGTGTAAGCAATAATTATTATTATTATTACCTTACACTTTGCATTTTTTATATATAAGTACAGATTCCTAAAATGCAGTAATCCTTTTCATATCAGTTGGGTAGTATTGGGGGAGGGAAAGGAATGAGCACAAAAATTATTCACAAACATTTTGACACACAATAAATTCACCCAACTACTGAGGCTATTAGTCATTTTCAACTTGAATGTTGCATGGAGAGCATATATTGAATAAACAGGATGGTTTATAACTTTGTATTGTAGGCAATCTGTGTCATGTCTAACAATTCTGTAGATTTTACTTCTTTGGGTCCAATTTCCTCACAGGCTGTTACAGTTTGCTGGTGTTGCTTTGTTTGAGGTTTAGGACAGAAAGGTAAGTATTGCACCCACTGTGCAGAGAAAAAGCGGAAATTAATTTGAAAAGGTAAATCATAGATTTCCCCACTCTCCAGCATGTCACCTGGATCTTCATGGTGGGCATCTTTCCAAGCTATAGTACCCCGCTCCTGATTCGATCCTGCGATCAAAAAGGAAACCAGACATGTTTGTTTTTTTGTGAGGAGTTGACTCCATCCAAAAAGTCAAAAGTTAGCTTTTGCCACAATAAATCATACAGGACTCCTAGTACAAAGTGGCTTTTGAAGCATTTGGACATGCTTGAAAATAAAATATTTATAAACATATACAGTGAAAAGTTGGCAGAGGACTATTGAAATTTATATTTCAGATCAAAAACAAATATAAGGCACAAGTAAAAAATGTCAGCATTGATTTCTCGATTTTTTGTGCAGAAATTTTGAACCATGTTAGAAGAAAGGGTTTTGTGTTCAACCTTATCCGTTTCAGTTATTTCGTATGTTTCGTGTGTTAGGACGCATTAACAACGTAAACTAGTGTAAAGTTAGCATTTGGTTGTATACACATACTCCTTACATCCAATGGGTATTTCATCAATATCAACATTACCGGACTTTTGATATTTGATATTTGATGTTCCTTGTTCATTTACAGTTCCTCTCTTTCTGTACACCTTTGCCCTTTCATCACTTTGATAAAGGTATAGCTTTGTCTAGTTGGTCCATAAAACTTTGCTCCAGAATTGTTGTAGTTCATCTTTCTTGTTTTTAGTGCTGATGAGAGTCCTGTATGTTGCAGTGTAGCCCATGAAAATCTCTAATCAAAGTCTTCTGTAATTTAATTTAATTTAATTAATTTTAAGATGCTTTCCATCACCCTTGCACTCTGGAGATTTTCTACAATCTCTTTTGCTGTTATTTTAAGGGTTTTCTTAATGATGTTTCTATCAACTGCTGCCATCTTCCATGGATGACCTGGTTTTTGACAACTGCTTATGTAAAGCTAGTGCCCACCCCAATATTTCAAGATACTTGAGCTTGTAGCCGAGCATCATCTACAATTGATAGGTGGTGTAGTTGGTTTTAAGTTGTTGCAAGTTGTGACAGAGGTAGTTTACAAATGGAAATTATCAGGGGTATGAATAAATCTAAATGGATTCTATAATTTTGTAGATTGTATAGATTGGCTGGGTAGTTCAAACAACTGAAATTATGTGCAACACTTACAGTACATAGGACACAAAGATCATTGAACTTATTATATGCACTTTAACTAATTTACATTTGCTGTAGAAAATAAGTTAATTACATCCACAATCATTTTTTTTTAGTTACTAATTTATCTTTGCAGTTCTTCTCCCGAAAGTTTTGGTTAAAATATTCACTTAAAAAATTCTGCACACCCTTTTTAGTTCATAAAAATGGGGCATTGTTGGAAGGAGGTCTATTTGTTTACAAGACGCTGTAAGTAATAAAAACCTCACTGTACAGCAAACAGATTTGGTAGACATATAATGGGATCACGTGGTACCCATTCTCATGGATGATGATGGTATACAACAGAGAGCACAAATATTACAGCATCAGATAATAATATCCAGTATATAAAGGAAACATTTTGTTGTAATAGTGTCATATGGTAAATCTAAATGCTCAAGTACTATGCCAGATTGGCTGCTGCTTACCTGGGATGGTGTTATCAAGAATGAATCCAAAGAAACCTCCCACAAACATACTGGTGGTCAACAAAACACGTAGAACACTGTCCAATTCAATCACACCTGGAAACAAATGTATCATAGGAAAGTTTGTGATTTTGTAGAATACAGACACAGAGCAGAAATGTTGTACAGTATATCTACTTCTAAAACACATAGAACTTTCACACATTTGATAGACTATCCCTCAAACCCTCCAATAACTTAAGATGTTAAGTTGTATCTAATTTGCAGCAGAACACACTCATGTAGAGTCAGAACTAGAAACTGTTTATACAAGTTTTGTTCTAACTTTTTTGTTTTTTAAAACTAGGTTTAACATGATAAGAATGTTATTAAAAGCTAACTATAAATAAATTAAAAAGTGGACAATGATGGTTCTTAAATAATAATGTGTGACAGAATATGGGGTAAGGTTATAGGGTGATTTACTATGGGTCTGGGATATAACATAGTCTCCTACTCCTGTAGTTTTTCCCCCATTTCATGTTGAAAAAATAAAAGCTAATCAGAGTCGGGTTGTTCTGTTCAAGAACAGCTGCTGTTATTGGAAGTGTGCTTGGGTGTGGAAGATGGTTGTGAGATGTCTATTGTCTTTGAACCAGGTATTTGTACTGAAAACTATTTGTTTTAGAAAACTAAAAGAAATACGGAAACAAGCACTTCTGTCTTTTGGAGAGCAGTATTTTGGAGAACAAAGACAGAATATTTTTTTTTCAGATTTGTCTAATTTTGCAGGAAACCAAGAATTAAGTCTTCAAACAAAGGAATAGTATTTTTTTTTTGCTACAAGGAAGCGGGAAGACAACCATTTTGTGCCAAAAGGCTAGAGACAAGCTAGGAAAACCCAGCTATTTAACTAACAAAATCTCAAGGTGCCACAGTTGCCTTACTTTAATGCAGTAACTTAACTACCGTTGATAAATTAATTTTATTATTCTTACACAGCTCTACTATAACCATTTTAAATACAATTTGTTAAAGTAGACTTATCAGTAAATTTCCACGTAGTTTCATGGGTTAAGAAGCTATATTCCCTGGGAATCAAAATCGAGTGAACAATGCAGCGAGTGAGCATGTTGCTCTCCTCATGAAATAGAAAAAAAATTCTACTACAGGAGAGGATGCTCTGTACACAAGTGATCTCACATAGGCAATTCCCTCATCCACAATTCATTATCTGATATTTAGACCTTACCAGTTTCAATAGCCATTGGGTGCTTATTTATCCAGTTCGGTATCACCAGACCAGAAAACATGGAAAACCCAAAAATGAAGAGGTTCCGGGATGAGTTCATATCTGCATACTGATAATAATGAACAATTACATTCATTGTGAGCGAGTTAAAATTTGGATGAGTTAAAAGGATGTGATGCAAGATTAATTATGAAATGCTGGAACTAAATTTAGTGTGAATAATACACTCTCCTTGTAACAGGCACCCTACCAAAACACAAAGAGCCACAAATTCTAGATTTGTGTTCAGTTTATATTTTTTTTGTTTAGGCTCAAAAGTGCCACAGTTCAGTTCATTAGCGCCCTTTGAATGTATTGAGATAGCATAGTCAATTCTGTCATTTTATTTTCACAAATAAATAATCTCATGAAAAATTCAGTAATTGAGTTAGATTCTAATCAATGCAATAGAGGGACAAAATATGTATTTTGTGTGACACACATTTTGTGTGACTCACCTAGCTTAGAGAATGGCAGCGAAGCCATTGTGGATATGATAACCAAATCCTCCAAAAGACCCCCAAAATATAATGCAGAGTCTTTAACTAACAAGTTAATTATGCACAACCTTTAAGTTGACCAAATCAGTTCAGATATACATGTGATATGAATTTGTAAGATGATTTGCAAGACCATTGACCTAGTGTTTTGATGATTGAGATTTCCAATAGGAGCTGTGGAACATGTGCACCAATTCTGAAAGAGTGTCTGAAAAAGTGAACAGCATTAATGCCAACTTAGTTAACACTGTGCAGAAATTATGTAGGAACGAATGGTGAGTAACAAAGAATTGCTTTTCAATGAAGAACAAAGAGTTGGATGAGATGGGTGATTGGGACAAATATAGGGATTAGTACACACAAAGAGATTTGTAAGGGCTGATGATGGAATTGAGCTTATAGTATTGAATGAAAACACATTGATCTGACTGATCAGTCAGCTGGCTTTAAGATGTCAAGTAATTTTACTGTGAAATCAGATAAACATCTAAAAGTAAGATCTACAAGGGTGATGGGTATGGCTACTAACATGAATTTGGCACACTGCAAGAAATCAGATGAAAGCAAGAAATAATGCTTTAGGAGTTAACCTACAAAAGAGGAATGGTAGCCGCTTTGTAGCAAGCTAATATAGTATGCTCAGTGCTAATAGGCAGACATTACGGAAGAGACAAATGGAAGAGACAATTCCACTTAAATTGCCATGGAGAGCGTAGGGTGGAGTGGAGAACAACATTCCAAGTGAGTAAAGGAAACAGGGAATGGAAATTTCGATTATGACTAGGGGAAACTGGTGTACTGTAGGTGTGTGGTCCATGACTGGAACCAAGATTCAGAATGTATGGAACTGAATGCAAGATTCAGTACTCTAGTTTGAGAACTCAGGATGTGGACAGCTTAAATTATGAATTGATTATAATGCAGTGGCATATTGATTTCATAATGAAGAGATTGGAGACAAAGCTCTGCTGTAAAATGATGGTTGTAGAATAATTGAAGTGAACAAGAAGAGCAAAAGATTACACTGTCACGGAAGCCAGGGCCTAGCCGTGGAGAGAGACCGCTGAGACGGGAGGACCCCCATGTTTGCTCCGGGCTCAAGGGACCAGGTGGAGTTGGAACGAGACATAAGCCCTCAGGTAGCAGACGTGGGGCAATCTGGTGAGGTGAGCCTCTCGACAACCGATCCCAATGTTGAGTGAGGAGGAAAGGGAGACCCAGAAATATAAAGCCCCAGACAACAAGACACTCCGGAAGAACATGTAAAGCACAGGGAAACTAGGAACATGACAGAGCAGGAGCACCCTCTAGATGTGGATGAAAGGAAAAGGCTGAAAAGGCATTTATGATGCAACTGAATTTGGGTTACGATAAGATGAGGTAAGAGTTGGAGTTGAGAGCAATCCCCAAAGATTTGATAGACATGGAGGGTCATAATGCCTTCTGAACAGGGAATTGTGAAGATTTATGTGGTGTCCAAGAGTCTGGTGCATGATGCACTAAATTTCCCTAACCTGTCGTGGAGAGGTATCAAACTGGACAAAGTGCATAACTGTGAAAGTGTTTATTTTTTAATCTTGGCTTTTGTGAAGCTAGTGCTTCACAAGAGCTGCAGATGTGAAGTAGCAGCAACTGGAATGTCTGTACTCAGTTGATCTGAAAATATGGACATGTCCTCCAGTGAAGATAATAGTGGATCCAACAGCATTTATTACCTTGATGAGGATGCGAGAAGACTGAAATAGAAGGAGTAAGATGGAGACACAGAGAATGAGCATTGGAGTGATGTCTGAGAATAATAGTTGAAGGTGAAGCAATTGATACAACAATGGTTTGTTCCAAAGTTCTGGGGAGAAGTGACATGAGGAGAGCTGGAAGAAATAAGAGACACCCTGCAGGTGCAGGGAGCTGGTTGTTTTCTACTGAGAAGTTGAGGTCAAAGAACTGCTTAATTAAGATGGTGAGGAATGGTGGTCAGAGCACTGAATCCAGCTGTGCTAAGAAGGGAGTAGAATATCAAGCTTGAAATTAGCATGCAACAACACAGGGGAACAGGAACAACCAAGGTAACTGTAGAAACACAGAGAGTCTGGCTGTCTGAGATACGTGAAGGAAAGTCCTGGGTCTAACCTTCCTTCCGAAATTCAGTTATGTGCTCCATGTATTTGTGATCAAGAGATTAACATGAATGGTAAGCACAACATAACTGTTAATGTTAAATGCTAATTTAACATGTTAAATGTTAATTTTCTACCAAAAAGTAGAAAAAAAACACAAATTTTTGGTTGTCTTCTTCACTTGAGGGTGACTCAACAACTGAAATATTGTACTTCTTTCACCTTTGTAGAATAAAATAAACATTTACTTGTTCTAGCATAATACACATGTTACTATTAAAAATTCCAAATACATTTGACGGGTACTCAAACTCCCAATAGGGTGGATCCACTAGGGTGGATTTTAAAATCCTAAAAAAATTTTTTTACATCATCTCTACATGAGGTAAAAAATCAAGATAAAACAATTCGTAGTATTTTTTTAAGACAAGCAGTCACAATGCCTAATCTTGTGCATTTAACATTTAACATTATTATATAGTACTTTTCATTAAAAGTACTATGTATTTCAGTTGCCCAGCCCTTACTGTAATAAATATAAACATTAAAAGTAAAGACAGGCTGTTTTCAGTCAGCTTTCAGTTCCAAAATTTTGATTTTTTTCAGAAATGTCTGAAAGTTTAAACATTTTGAAACCCTTCTGGATCTGCCAAATGGGCAGAAATAAAAGCTGAGAATAAACATTTTGTTCTAAAAAGTGAATGGTTGGTGACTTTTTCTTACACAGAGATGTTAAAACATGGTGAAAGAAATAGAACTCATAACATTTAAAATGATAATGATAATTGTTAAAATGATAATTGTCCTGTTGGCTAGCAAAGATTTGTTTTGAAAGAATCAAATGTTGCTTCTCTTGCCTTGGTAATTCTTATATTTTCATGTTTTGTTTGTGTGTATTTGCAAATATTAGGCTGTCAAAATATTTGGCAGTAGGTACCTGAACAAGTAAAAACATGGTTTTAATTTAAACTAAATTAAAACAAGCTGTTGCTCATTTAAATCATTAGAAAATTATCATTCAAAATATTAAATACCTGTAGGTTTGCAACTCCAGCAGCAGATATGACACCAAACATAACAAGGAACATTCCACCAATAACTGGTGTTGGGATTGTGGTAAAAATGGCTCCAATCTTCCCAAACGTTCCCATAACTATCATTAGAATTCCACTGGTAACAATTACCACCCGGCTCCCCACCTGTGTGTAAAGATCAAACATGGATGATCAATTCATTTTTTTCCATCATTTTTACGTCTTTTTCTCAAAAGAGAAATTTGCAGTTCAAAAGACTGCAAATAAATTATTTACAATGCTATAACTACTTTTTTATTTTAGTATTTAAAGTTGATTTGTTTGCCAAAATTATTAAGCCTAATTAAAAAATAATAGTAAGCTGTTTAATAAGTGAATCACATTACATTACTTTGTCCAGTAAATTAATTCCCAAATGACCGTGCAACTGTGGACTGTGTAGTTGATGTTGTTTGGCTTTTTCAGGAAACCTATGTATTTATGCCTGCATGTATTAGGTATCTGTTTTTGTTGGTGTATGTCCCCACTTCCATCATAATTTGGTTTCAAAACAGATTATTACATTTTATGGAAATAAAGAGGGAATAAAAGACAGTGATTACATATGAGAAAGTAGATGTAGTTTACAAATATTTTTTCACAATGAATACAAGTCCAAATAACACTAATAATCCAAATAATAATAGTCCACATCTCACCTTAGTGATGCCTAGTGCTCCCACATTCTCACTGTAGGAGGTGGTCCCATTTCCTGTACCCCATATACCTGCCAGCAGGCAGCCAATGCCTTCAATACCCACTCCTCGGTTGATGGCATGTTTTGGTGGAGGAGGAGCACCAGATAGTCTTGCACAGGCATGGTAATCGCCCACAGACTCTATCATGGAAGAAATCACCCCAGCCAAGATGCCAAATACCCCTGCAGGGCTCACAGTTGGAACACCCCATTGGCCTGATTGTGAAGAAAAATGGAAAGCAAATGCTACAAATTGTGTGCACATCATTCCATTTGATGACTATTGTATATCAATTTATTACCACACTGGCAAATAAGATGATATCCAGCATGGCTTTTAATGTTAAAGGGGAAGTCAGTCGTCGTCATATCTAACAAGAATTCCTGCTTGTATAAATCATGATTCAGACACTTTACCTGGGTATGGGAATCTGAACCAGGGTGCTCTGCCTAGCACATCTCCCTTCATATCAGTGCGAGCCAGATAGCCATACATCCCAGGTTCTGATGGCAAAATATTGTACTCAGTCAGGATATAGCAAATAAGCCATGAAAATGTAATTCCAAGGAGCACCTCAAAAAGAAAAAGAAAAAATAAGCTTACATGACTGGCATAGCGTCATAGCCTTAGATTGAATAGAGCTCAATGTGCATGTCTCACATGTTTTTGTATTTCTTTTTGTTGTCATGTGATTTCCCCCATTATTTTTACACCTGTGTCCCAGATGTCAAAATTGAAAACCTGTTTGTTTCAGCAATGCTCTGCGTCTATCAACCCTGAGGTCAGTGTTTGATTCCTGGTCAAGGCACATGTTTTTCTTTTAACAAATAAAATTAATAAAAAATAAAATGACAAAAATTATGTACACTATATTGACATTTTATTATTTTATATATCACAACGTGTTCAATAAATAAATTTAAAATATGAATGAGCAAATGCAAATACTGTCAACAGTAGAGTAGTAGAGTAGAGTCGTTTATTGACATATGTATACGTACATTGGAATTCTTAATCGCACTGATCTCTCGGGACATACACAGTACAAAAGACAACACCACATAATGTAGACAACTGGGACAATAAATATGTTGTGGAAAATAAATAAATATTTAGTAGTGAGACAAAAAGAAAAAAAATGGCATTGCAGTTAGCTGTTGAGGATGTGTACTGCAGTGGGATAGAAGCTGTTTTTGAGTCTAGTGGTCCTTGCCTTAACAGTGCAGTATTGCATGCCAGAGGGTACAGGATGGTTGGGATCCTGAATGATGGATTGGACTTTATTGTGACAGTGGATGGTGTGGATCTCACCGACTGATGATAAATCACAACCTATAATCCTCTGTGCCATTGCCACAAACCTTTGTAGTGTATCTCTGTCTTGCGAGGTAGTACTGCTGTACCACACAGTGATGCCACTAGTGAGAACACTTTCTATGGTGCTGTGGAAAAAAGTTGAGGAACTGTTTCTCCATACCACATTTTTTTAAGCACCTCAAAGTGCTAGCGCTGTTGTGCCTTTTTCAGACTGGCTGCAGTGTTGTGAGATCAAGCCAAGTCTGTGGAGAGGAACTTTAAGCAGTTGACAGTTTCCACTGCTTTGCCATTGATGCTGATTGGGGCATGACTCGCTCTGGGTTTCCTGAAGTCCACAATTAGTTATTTTGTCTTGTTGACATTCAGGTCCAGATTGTTGTCAAGGCACCATCTCGTAAGATGCTCCACCTCACTCCTGTATGTGGGACTCATAGATGTTGTTGATCAGCCCAATAATAGTGGTGTCATCTACCAACTTAATGATGCGGTTGCAGTTCTAAGTGGCTATACAGTCGTGGGTGAACAAGGAGCCCAGGACTGAGCCAGCAGCATTGTGGAGCTCCAGTGTTTAGGATCATTGTAGAGGAGATATTGTGCCAATTTTCACCATCTGAGGTCTGCCCATCAGGAAATCCAGTATGCAGTTGCAGATGGAGTGGCATAAGCCCAGAGTCCTGAGTTTTGGGACCAGTTTGGCAGGAACAATTGTGTTGAAGGCCGAGCTGTAATCAATAGACAGCATCCTAACATAGGTGCCATGTCCGTCTAAATGTTCTAGGACGGTATGAAGTGCTAGAGATATGGCATCATCAATTGACCTATTCGAGCGGTTAGCAAACTGAAGTGGGTCAAGGGAGTCTGGGATAGAGCAATATACTGTATACTGTATAGGACAATCTTAGTCTTTCCGGGCACTTCATGACCACTGAAGTGAGTGCCATGGGCGGTAATTGTTCAAGCAAGTTACCTTGGTCTTTTTGAGCAGTGGCACAATTGTGGTTTTCTTAAAGCAATCTGGTACAACTGACAGGGACAGAGAGGTTAAAAATGTTTGTATACATGGGAGATAGCTAGTCTGCTATCAGGTTTTAAGGACATGAGGAGAGACACCATCTGGGCCAGCTGCTTTGCAGGTTTTCATTCTCTTAAAAGTAGTTTGTGAAAGCCTGCAAGCATTGCCACATACGCCTTGAGTCACCCCCAATCTGTTTTTCTCATTTGTCCTTGTATTCCTGCTTTGCCAGTTTAAAAGCTTTCTCCAGGTCATACCTTGATTTTTTATACAGTTCTCTGTCACCTGATTTGAAGTCAGCAGACTGCGCTTTAAGTTTGGAGCAAGCTTTGTTCATCCAGGGCTTCTGATTGGGATATAACCGGATCTTCTTGGTAGGAATACATCTGTACACACAGTAGTTGACGTACTGTAGGATGTGACCACCTCTGTATACTTATTTAGATCAGTGGACGAATCTTTGAATATACACCAATCAGTCATTTGTAATTGGGAGTTGCAGTGGGAGTTCAATTCAATTCAGTTCAAAATACTGCATCATAATGTAGCAATTAAAAACAAGCCTTAAATGCAATAGTATATATTTATAATTATAATCGACAATAACAAAGAATTAAAATGAGCACTGAAACTGAACTATAATAACCTATCTGATCACTATTAACAATATTAATGAATTCATAATTAACTATTTTTAACTGCTTGTATTTTGTAAACCTTCCATTTTCTTATTAAAACGTCTATTTTTGAGACACGATGCTTAAAATGTTTAGAACTTTGCAAACAAATGACAGAACCTTCAAACCACAGGCATTTTAAAGATCACGATTTTTGATCACATTTATATAAAGAACAACTAGTACCTGGTTCCATTTTAAGAAAGTTTGAAAAAAGTAGATCCCAGGTGTAAGAGTTCATACTCCGAGAATACTGTAACTATTCGTAAGTATGCAAAACACCTGACCATATAAAGCAGAATAATACAAACTCATTGGGTTCAGCCACTCCTTAAACTTGAGAAACATTCTGTATTTTCTGCTTTTACTCAGATAAGAATAAACTACATATAGATTTATTTTGATAGGATGAAAGATGTTCTGTGCTCAATAGCTTTTCCACCACAGTACGCATTATGTTACATTTTTTACGCATTACATGCAAATCACATGAAGTCATATCCACAGATACAGTATACCAAAACCATAGCATTGACACAGGTCAATGAACTGTAGTGTAATTGTATACCATATAAATATACTGTGTATACAGTATGATACTGTAAGGTTTTAAAGCCACTACAATCCAGTATCTGAAACATATTTTCATAATCAAAATTTGCATAAAGAAGTAAACCTGAAAGAAGCACATCACTTTTACAAGCTATAGTAGAAAATATACTCTATATATCAAACAGAGTAATTTTGTTTTTGTAAATAAAAACAATATTCATTTAACATTTTACCTAATGTAATACACAGTTTAAAATTAATAAAAGTCTAATCAGTATACAACTTCTATACAACTTCAATATTCTAGGCTTTTGAAGAACGTCTTTCACACTTTTCAGAAACCTCTGGGGAATGAGCTGCTGCTCTCAGTTACCTGACTACTTGCTGTAAGGCAATTGATGATGACAGATGGCAGATGATGTCAGTTTTCCTACTATTCTCAACACAAGCAATAAGAATGAGCCTATAGAAATGTAGAAAGTGTGTAGAAGTGAATATTTCAATTTATTTTAGTTCTCATCTTGATAGTGATAGAATAAAATCTTTCTCTGTAAATGTAATTTGAGGCATAAAATAATGTGAATTTTTAAATAATTGCTTAGTATCTTGGTTTCAAATACCTAAATCTGTTAGCTACATTTGTTTTATATTTAGGAATTTATTAGGGTTAAATTACTATATCAAAGTCACACCTCTAAATACCTTTCTCATTGTTAGTTATTATTTCATTGTAAGTCTGTAAGTCTTCTGTTTGAAAATAAAACTGCTCACAAAAAGTCACAAAAATATCCTCCTTAACACTCAATATACAAAAACGTCTATAGTTATATAACCACCTGAAACCCACAAAAAAGAAAAAATTAAATGTTACCTTAAAATAAATGGTATTTCAACTGCTTGTTGACTGCTAAAACTGCTAATAAATTGCAGATGCATCTATGTATTTGACTCCTGTATTTTCCACACCATTCACCACAATTAACAAGTCTTCCCTTCACATTTTTAATGACATCGATATTTAAGTTTTAAAATAACATTAAGTACAACTATTTAAACATCGTAAATGAATAAACATGTATTTGCTTTCATTTAGCAGTTAATTCCAATGGTTAGGAGTTGACCTGAAACCACCCCCCATTCTCATTGGAAATCTGATTTTAATTTACTTTTTAACTCCTTTACCTATAGTTCAAGGCAGTGATGATGGAGGGCAATACCACAGCACAAAAGTAGTGTTTGGGCCCTGGACTACTTAATGGAGGAGAGAGCTATAAGAGAAAGTAATGCCAGGGCCACAAGCCACCACTGGAGCTGTGAGGTGATGAAGGGTGTTCCAGGGGCAGACAGAGAGTATAATCATATCTGGAGAGCACAACCAGCCTGCCTTTCCTTGGAAGGCAACAATTGGAAGGGAGGGAAAGCCCAGGAGAGGGATAGGTGTAAAGATATATTTTCCTTAGGCCCCTTCTCAAGCACAGGTCCAGTCAAACCTGTATGCAACTCCACACTTTCCCTCTGAATGGTGTGTTTACTACCCAAATTAAGAGGGTCTTTGATCAGGGTAGGAATCACCAAGTATAAGGCACAAAATTGCTTCAGCACTAGAGCACCACTGGCTCATCAATGTAACTTAACAACTTTTGACACCTGGTACCCAAAGGCCCATTCTTGTCACTTTGTGACATTGGTATATAATTATGTTCACCATATTGATGAAACAAGCTTCCACGTCCTTAAAATGAAGACAATATTTATTCTTCTCAGGCTAATCAGATATCTTCTCCGCTTCTACTCAAAGAATAGAAAACAGTGAATCGGTGTCTATAGTTCATATGGAGAAGATTGCAAATGTTATCTACTTGTGAACTAACTTGGCAATTCAGACTTTTGGATAGCACCTTCAGGATGGTGTCCAACCAAATCAATTAAATGTGTTGATAAGTCGCACATCTTTATCTTTTTTAATAATAGTGATATAACAGTGGGATTATCTCTGAAAAGAGTCTTCCTCAATAGCCACACATGTACAGTATGTGTCATGCAGAGCAAATGAAGACATCATTGGAACTAAAAAGATAAAAAATAAATCACTGTAGGTTTATTTCTTCTGTAGAGAAGATTCATTAGGACCATAAATATGAGGAATTTTATATAGAGAGCTGTTGGGATGTGTGCTAAACCCCACACTCTATGATCATTTCAGAAAGTTGTTTGATGAGATTTGGGCAGGTATTAGTAAATAAGGAAAGTAGTATAAATGGTCTCCTTTCATTTGAAACCTTTCTGAACCTGAAGTTCTAGGGTCTGTATTTTATCTTGAAAATGCTGTGGCACAAAATCAGTTCACTGATACTTACTGGAAGAATCTGAAAGACATAGATCCTGGAGATGTGAAATTTCTTTGTCTTGCTATAGGCAGGGAGGGGAACAGGGATGTGTCGGAGGTACTGTGAGAACAGGATTATCAGAACTGTGGTCCTACAGATGGAAAAAACAATATTTACTGCCAGAAACCACAACAACCATAGCCTGTTACTAAAAATTTCACTTGGAGAGTACTGGTGAAAAACAATATAAGTTCTAACCCGCATACCATATTTGTTCTGTATTGGTATGTCTAAATTCAAAAGGGAAAACATTCAGAAAGGGGAGTTTAATTAGTTTGATTTGGGGAGTGGACTAAATAGTCTTGCATAGTCTAAGTGTGTAGTTACATTAATTTTGAAAACATAAAATACATACAATTAGTAATTTATTAACTGATTTTCAAAGCAAAACATTAATGTAGGGACAATTTTCCCTATTTTAAACTCATTATTATGTGTAAGCAGTGAATTAATTCAAACATATACTCAAAAATGGCTGAATACAGCCATTTTTACACTGCAGGGCCAAGGTCAGCTGTATTATTATATCCAGTCTGTTTATTCTATATTGAAGTGTTACACTGTCAGTTCACACCATAAATCAATTCTAGATTAAATTCAAATATATGCAGTATTTTTAATTTACATGCATCATAAGGTATAACTCTTTGCATATTTTATGTTTCTGTCATTGTTCAGCTGTACAATACCATGTAAATAAAATGTTTTTATTAAATTTCTGATTCAATAAAAATATTTTTGTTAAACTTAAAATTTGATGAAAATGTTTCCTACACTTTTTATTTTGCATAATCAGTTTTCATCAGTGTTGGACTTGCTACAAATCTCAGATTCAAAAGATTTAAATCTTTTCTCTTGGAAAAGATTCAAAAGAAATGTTAAACATTCTGTCTTTTCAGAAGCAGAGAATGTAACAGTTTAATTCACAATGATACATAAAGCCTTAGCCACAGCTTTTTATTTGATAAAGTAGTTGTGAAAGATGAACACACATTGAAGAGATCCCCCAGTGGATCCCTGCATCATTCCCAGCTGACTCAAACAGGGACAGACCAATGAGAGAGATGGTGGGTGCAATGGTGAGTGGGCCAATAAATTTCATGAGAAGACCAATGAGCCCAGAGAATCCCACGAAGATCTGGAAACAGGAGGCTACCATGATTGATCCCTGAAGCTACAGAAAAAAAGGATGCAGAATAAATTCTGTACAGCAATCCAAATTAGCATGCTCCCTATTTTTGACTAAAAATAGTACAGCTACTATAACAAAACTGAAGTGTTTTGTCACAAAACTACATTCGATTAAAAACTGAACTTCCCAAATTTTCACAACCTTTTTATACATATAAGGACTACATTCAATTCAATTTGTAATTATAAAACTACAAACAATCAAAGCTCTTTGCCAGTCATTATGGCTGTTTTTATAGCAGACATTATTACTGTCTCTCCCCAGGCCCTCTGCTACAAATCCTAATTTAACTGTTTAACTGATACTGTGAGTGTCAGTCTTATAGTATGGGTGGACCAGCCAGGAGTGTGTCCTGTCCCTCCTGGATTGGACTTAAATAGTGGAAATATTTTACTAGGTTGCTGCTGCAGGGATTTTTCTTATCTCGATTCTCTGTTACTCTTTTCATTAGGTCTTCCCTATGCCACCATCACCTGTATCAGTACTTTCATCAGGTCGTCCATAGGCAGTTCAAAAACATCCTAGCTGTTTCTCAGATTTGATCAAATGTTCATTTCAGCTGAGAACTATCTTGAGGACCAAAAATAAGATACTGTCCCAAAGAGCTACAAGATTACATACTGGAGGGAAAGGTAGCAGGTAGTACTTTCCAAAACTGAGAGAGAAGGAATTTAAATAAAGGTTAGAGTGGCACTAAGTGGAGCTTTCTCTTATTGATAATTAGGTAGATTTCAACTTTTTTCCAAGCAAATAGAGGTCATAGGGTAAACAGACACTCCAAATAGTCCTACATATGTTATGACCCAGTTACAAGGTGATTCAAGAGCATTGAAATGATCAGCAATGTGAAGAGTAGCAGCAAGATAAAAGGAAAGCCCCAAAGGCAGCTTTCCACAGATCCCTAGCAATCACCAGAAAACAAATTCTTTCGTTGGACAGGACCAGGACAAATTTCATGTTTTGAAACAAAAATTCAACACTTAACATATAGCTAAAATTTGGACAACTCCTCATGCATCTTACAAGTTGGATGTACTTTAACTTTGATTCATTAAGCTGAGCTGATGATTACTACAGTTACTGTCACTACTTTTTGAAACGTTTTGCAAAATACAAGAGTGCTAGTACATTTTTCACAACGTAAATTAGCACAATGCCTTTGGTAGTTAAAGTATCATCTTGTCTGTAACACCTGCTGATAACTTGCTGGTCCTTATCTAGATTTTGTGACCTGTACATTTGTGCTTACCTCTCGAATCCTGCTCTGCCATACTTCAATGTACTCTGGTGAGCTGGTATTAACAAGACTGGCATTGTGAGTCCAGGCAGGACACTTCCACTTAGGCATAGACATCACAGCCAGGGAGGGTGCTAGGAAGCTAAATGTCCCTCCTTGGAGAATGGGCAACCTAGCGCACAAGAAATAAAATAAGATTACTTTAAACTTTTCCAAGATGAAATTATTTCAAATCAAATCATAGTTTATTTATCAAATGCACAACAATACAGTGTGCAGCAGTATTTGCTGGCAATGAAATGTCTTTTCTGCGAGCTCACAAAAATCACAAAAACATAAAAACACAAAAACACAAAAACACAAAAATCACAAAATTAAGGTTATGAAAATAAGGTTACATAATAATAGATGTAATAGAAATTGAATAAAACTCAATATGAATAGCTGCTATGTGTCCATGGTGTATGCAATATAAACAAGTAGTGCTGTATGCTGAATACAGTGAAAACTGTGTGTCCATGTAGCCATTACAGGTGATTTTCTAAAGGAGCTGCAGGTTGGCTATTTAGTAGTCTTATTGCTTGGAGGTAGAAGCTGTTCCATAGTCTGTTGGACATGGACCGAATGCTTCGGTACCATTTGCCAGACGGTAGGAGGGAAAACAGTTTGTGACTGGGATGACTGGGGTCCTTGAGAATGGACCTGGCCTTCTTAAGACACCTAGCTGAGTAGATATCCTGGATGTTTGGTAGCTCACAGATGGTAATGAGCTGCGCTGACTTCACCAACCTCTGCAGTACTTTGCGATCCCAAGTAGAGCAGTTCCCATACCAAGCAGTGATACAACCAGTCATTATGCTCTCAATAGTGCACCTGTAGGAGTTGGCCTGGAAATGTGATGGCATGCCAAACGTCTTTAGCCTACGGAGAAAGAATAGGCGCTGCTGTGCTGTTTTGACCACTGTGTTGGTGTGGTGGGTCCAGGTTAAGTCCTCTGATATGTTAACTCCCAGGAACTTAAAACTGCTGACCCTCTCCACTACAGTCCTATTGATGTAGATAGATGTGTGATCTCCTCCCTGGTGTTTCCTACAGTCCACAATCATCTCCTTATTCTTACTGATGTTCAGACAGAAGTTGTTCTCCTGGCACCATGCTGCCAGGGTTTCAACCTCCTCCCTGTACGCAGACTCTTCACCATCTGTGAGCAGGCCGATGACTGTTGTATTGTCCGCAAACTTAATGATGGAGTTTGAGTTATGCCTGGTGACACAATCATGGGTAAATAAGGATTAGAGAACAGGGCTAAGCACACAGCCTTGGGGGGCTCCAGTGTTTGAAGTCAGAGTGCAACAGGGCGGTAGTCATTCAGGCAACAGACAATGGTGGTTTTCTTAAAGCAGGAAGGAACTATAGACTGAGCTAGAGAGAGATTGAATATGTCTGAGAAGATATCTGCCAGCTGGTCTGCACATGCCTTCAGAACATGGCCAGGGATAGCATCAGGGCCAGGAGCCTTGCGTGGATTGGTCTTTTTAAAAACTTTACACACATCTGCTCTGGATATCATCAGTGGGTTTCCGTCTTGGATTTTTGGAATCTTCCTGACTGGATCTGCGTCACTGACGTCAAACTGAGCATAGAATGAATTTAGCTCATCATGAAGAGAGGCAGACTGTTGTGCGATATAGCTGGGTTGCGTTTTGTAGTCTGTAATGGTGTGTATACCACTCCACATGATCCATGTGTTGCAGCCCTGATAATATGAACATGAATATTAATTTGACTCTGTAGTTGTATTTAGCTATTTTGATAGCGTTCCTGAGGTCGTATCTGGATTTTTTGTACTTATCCATATCGCCAGAATTGAAAGCAGCTGTCCTAGCTTTCAGTTTGGCGCGTGTCTCGCCATTTACCAACGGTTTCTGATTTGGATATGTGCGAAGAGTAATCCTGGGAACCACGTCTTCAATGCATTTACTGATGTAGCCAGTAACATAGTCTGTATACAGATTGATATTATTTCCGGCAGCTTTGCGGAAGATCTGCCAGTCAGTGGTAGCAAAACAGTGATTTTGTATAAAATCTGATTCATCCAACCAACATTGAATGGTTCTTAACGCTGGCCTCTCCTGTTAAAGCTTCTGCTTGTAAACGGGAAGTAGCAGAATGGAGGCGTGATCGGATTTGCTGAAAGGAGGTTGGGGGAGGGCTTTGTAACCATCCCGGAAGGGAGTGTAAACATTGTCCAATGTGTTTGTTCCGGGTGTCGGGCAGTCAATGTGTTGATGTAGGTTAGGCATTGTTTTCTTCAAGTTCACCCACTATGATGAATGCCCCCTCAGGGCGTGTATTCTCGTGTCTGTTAAGGTGAGAGTGTAGTTCATCCAGTGCCTTTGTGAAATTTGCCTGCAAAGGAATATACACCACTGTGAGAACCGATGTGAACTCCCTCGGGAGTTAGAAAGGGCGACATTTTATTGTAAAAATGTTCAAGATGTGTAGAGGAAGATGTTGAAATAATCTCATGTTGTATGTCATATCCCATTTAATTAAAATAAGATAAGATAAGGCTCTGTGGATGGAAGGTTGCTGGTTCGAATCCCACGGCCGGAAGAGGAATCCTACTCCGTTGGGCCACTAAGAAAGGCCCTTAAACCCAACTGCTCCCAACTGTATAAACGGGTGATCCGGTGCTCTGACCCCAAGCTTCTCTCCTTGTCTGTGTATTTCATGGAGAGCAAGTTGCGGGTATGTGAAAAGACAAATTCCTAACACAAGAAATTGTATATGGCCAAAACGGTTATCTTATCTTATCATACTGTATGTCATATCACATTTATTTACAAAGTGACTTGCAAAGGTGACTTGCTTTAACAACTGCAGCAATTAAAGTAATTTCCTTATACAAGGTATTACACGGTATTAAGAATAAGAGTAATCACATCAGGTACAATCTCCTAAGTTTAAGGACAATGTACTTCAAGTACCCAGGAGAAGTACCCAAGATATTGATCATATTCTTGTACACACAGAGAGCCTTTCTGGATTTCTTTTTAAATACATTAACATCATATGCATTGAATACAGAATTAGATTCAGTGCTTTTTATCAAACTGAGTTAATTAATAAAAAAATATAAACTTTTCTGAAAAGAAATTAAAAGAATGTTCAGTCTGTCATTACATTTTTAGTTTTGATATGATTATTGCTATGAGTTTTTGATCTTACAAGTATCTTAGTAATATCTATATTGAGGTGGGTAGCTGCTTCAGCATGCGTAGGCTGCAAAGGAACAAGTAATAGGCTTATTCCATGCTGAAAAAAAAGAAGAAAGAGAACACAACGTTTCTGTAACGAACAGTTCTTTCAGGACCCTATGCGGACGACACAGTCCGACGGAGTGGGGAAACACTGGGGAAACGTCATGCAGGAAAACGGGGCTGAAGACAGGGGGGCATGTCCAAGGTGAGCTGGTGCACGGGGGAGGTGTGGCCGAGGCGAACAATCCGAGAGAGAAGTCCTTAGGGGATATCCAAAACACAAGGGTAAGTTCAAAACCAGAAGATCCATCAGAACAAAGAATTAAAAACCACGAAAGGCCGGGTCGGAACTGGCGGACGGGGAACAGGAATGGGAACAGAGGTTAAAACCTTAACGGGACCAGGCGCTTCCAGGTCCCGGACTCCCACGATATGGAAATCAGAGCAGAGCCCGGAAGAGCGTCAGCGCCTGGCTTTTAAGGTGGGCAGGGAATGGGAAACAGGTGCAGAGAATGAAGTCTTAAGAGAAAGGGCTGGAGCACCCTTAAGGAGGGGGGACTAATATCGTGACAGTTTCGGCCGTGGAGCCTTCTTCAGGTGTGAGAGAGACAGGGCAGTAGGCAAAGGTGAAGTAGCGGGAGAACATTCCCCCCTCCCAACCTTTGTTCTATATGTTCCAAACTTATATCTATATTGATATGACCAGATAGTCAGTGGCTATCAAAATGATTCACCCACTAGCACGTTTTTACATTTTATGTTCACAATCTGGAATTTAATTGGACTTTTTTACCTTTTCACCATTGTTTGACACAAAATTATATATAGTGTATACACTAGATAGTATATACAGATCCAGCCATTCAAAATATGCAAAGTACATTTGTCAATATGTGGTGGGCGTGGCGCATCATACCGCATCATACTGCATGCAAATTGTAATATGATAATAGTATCTGGTCTCAGCAGATAAAAAAAGATAAAATGATTTAAAAAAATCTCAGCATTTGAGCTGTTGCCAGAAAACACCCGCTTTTGAATGCTGGTCACTGCTGAGGGACAATCTTTTTACAATTAAGAATTTAAGTTGTATACTCTTTAGATTTTTAAACATTTTAAACTGTGTATTACAGCATGTTAATCATTAAACATTAAAAAGTCCATATATTTTATAAAAGCAAGATTGCTCAGTTGGACAAAAGTACACAACCTTCCCTTCATCATAAATATTTTAATTATAATATTTTTTATGCATCACTTGGTAACTTACATGGGTTCTGGTTTTAACATGCTTGTTCTAACAGTATTAAGCTTATATTCTGTAGTTCATAAAAAGTTATAACATGTAATCTTTTTCTTAGAATACGTAGTAAGACCACCACTTGCTGTGATTGTAAAAAGATAAGACCACTTTCTTAGCCATATACGATTTCTTGCATTAGGAATTTGTCTTTTCACAGACCCCAGCTTGCTCTCCATGAGACACACAGACAGGGAGAGAAGCTTGGTATCACAGTGCAAGGTCACCCATTGTACAGTGCCCATAGAGCAGTTGGGGTTAAGGGCCTTGCTCAGAAACCTAATGGAGTAGGATTCCTCTGCCGGCCACGGGATTTGAACCAGCAATCTTCCAGCCACAGCTGCAGATCCTTAGCCACAGAATCACCGCTCCACCCCAACAGATCAATGTTGTAGTGATTTAACATCACTTGATAGTTATATTAATATGGAACTGTAGGCATCCTCTCACAAGGCATCAATAAATGTAGGGGTTTTGTGCATTTACTGGGACAATTATTAATTGTAGCAGTAAGTCACAAAATGATTCTTTGATGGCTATTAGAATCAACCTTGCAGGATAACTCAAAAAACACAAATACATGGGTACTAATACACGAGAATACATTTA